CCACATATTGTGGTTGCTGGGTTACAGGCCTCACCAGGCCTTCCTGAATTCAGAGTAAAGTACACAAACCCATACTTCACCTATTATTGTGGTAAGTCACCCGACGAGATATCTTGTGCACTTTTTAAAATCCATTTCTTATGGTGAGGGTCACGCGCAGTATGCTTCGGTCCCTTCTTATGTGGCTCAGACCCCGGTCTTTCCTCGGGTCCCACTTTAAGAGTTCTTAAGAGCTAACTTCTGGAAGTAGCTCCCATTTGGTGTGGTTTTCAGGTACACCAGGCTGGGTCTCACTGACCTTCCTGAGTACGAGCTCCCACCGGATGTGGCCGCCAGGATACAGGCCTCACTAGGCCTTCTTGGTTATGAGCTCCCACATACTGTGGTCGACAGGTTACGAGCTCCCGCATACTGTGGTCGCCAGGTTACAGGCCTTACCAGGCCTTCCTGGCCATGAGCTCCCACACACTGTGGACGCCAGGTTACAGGCCTCAACAGGCCTTCCTGAATTCAGAGTGAAGTACACAAACCCATACTTCACCTATTATTATGGTAAGTCACCCGACGAGATGTCTTGTGCAATTTTTAAATCCATTTCATATGGTGAGGGTCACGCGCGGTATGCTTCGGTCCCTTCTTATGTGGTTCAGACTCCGGTTCTTCACTTTGGGTCCCACTATATATGTGTCTTTGTCGCAATACATTACGACAGGCACTTCCCTTGTTCAAGCTATCTCCCACAACTGGTGGTTTTAGGTCTGATTAGACCTTTTTCGAGGTAGCCCCACATTGTGGGTCTGTCAGGTTTCTAGCCTCTGGCTTTCCTGAAGGATGAGCTTCCACATGCTGTGGTCGTTGGGTTTCAGGCCGCACAATGTACGGCCTTCCTGACATGAGCCCTCATGTTTCAGAGCTCCCCACACAGGGGGTCATCAGGTCTTAGGTCTCATTGACCCTCCTGATTTGATCCCTCTCTTACTTCCTCAGTGCTCAAAAGCGAGCACTGGGTGGAAACTCGTGGATTGAGTGTACGATTCCCGTTGTTTTGAGGTTGAGTCACACTCTCCGGAGGATCCCGTCTCTGTGATCCGAAACTCGATGGTTTCTGCCAGCTTCGCGGGCCTTCAGTTTTTGGATGCCTTTCCTAGGCAATTTCCAGAGGCTCTGTCTTGGACGGACAGGCTATGGCCAGACTGTGTGTCTTAGTACAGATCACCAGGCCAGCCTAGTGACTGGCTGGGGGTCCCTTTGGCCCCCTAGCCACACTCCCTAGAAGGGACCCCTTCTATTTTGAAGTTGTGGTCCTAAAGCCTTTGAGCTGGCCCCGATTTACCCACGTTATTACGTTCTTGTTTTTCTTGGTTCATTAGCTTGGGCTATGACCGGTAGGGAGTGCTGTCACTGACAGCCCGATGTAACATAGGGTGAGTGGTTTCAGTGTTCCTTGGAATTACTGGTTCTGACAGTTGTCACTGCCTTTTCGGCATGCACTCCCCTCAGTATGGCGGAGTGGGTATTTCGTTCCCCATTGCGTCATTCGACGTATTGTTGAGTTCCCTTCGAAAGGGAACGTCTCAGGTTACGACTGTAACCTATGTTCCCTGAGAACAGGGAACGAGACAATACGTCTCGTTGCCATGCCTCGGGGTCTGCCTGCAACAGTCCCTTCAGACGATAGGATGTTGTCACGGTTTCAAGGCGCCCTTCTTATACATCCAGATTGACGCGCTCATCATTCAAGCTGATGAAGCATGGGCTGTCGCCGGTCAACCTGATTACTGTGAGTTGATATTTGATTTCAGACACCTGTCACGCCTGAGGCGTTCCCCATTGCGTCATTCGACGTATTGTCTCGTTCCCTGTTCTCAGGGAACATAGGTTACAGTCGTAACCTGAGACGTTTCTGGAGTAAATACTTAGCTACACGACTTTGGCCAATGGTTTTAGACCCGCCATTAGTTCGAGGAACTAACGTTATAATTATAAGATTCCTTCGGTGCACCAGCCCCTTAAAGTCATAGGCACGTTAGTATTTTCACCAAAAAAATAGTTTAAAGTCAGTTATTCATCGGTTATGTTGCTGTAGTGTGTCAGAAATACTTAGCTACACGACTTTGGCCAATGGTTTTAGACCCGCCATTAGTTCGAGGAACTAACGTTATAATTATAAGATTCCTTCGGTGCACCAGCCCCTTAAAGTCATAGGCACGTTAGTATTTTCACCAAAAAAATAGTTTAAAGTCAGTTATTCATCGGTTATGTTGCTGTAGTGTGTCAGAATTGCGCCCCTTGGAGATGTTGCCACAGTTCTTCTGGATTTAACGTTAGTCTGTCTCAGTTTTTTCTGTTTCTTCATGTAATCCCAGAAAAAAATCAATGATGGTGAAATCAGATTACCTGTATAGCGGCTGTTGTCAGACTTATTGTGCATATACACATCTCACTGGATTATTACAATTAATGGCTAAATGCATGTTTGTAAATGTAACACTGATATTTCCTTCTGACACATTACAGCAACATTTTGATTTAGTCAAAAGCTCAGTAATACAGTTAAATAGACATGCTTCTGAATATTATATATTTGTTACATCAGCTAATTTTGTTTTTAAATGTTATTTCTCTCTGCAGGACCACGTAATGGCAGATTTTGCATAGGTCTGTGGATAGAATTGGTTCAATTGTTAATAGGCATCCCATTGACTTTGATTATCTCCACTTTGTTTGCTGTCAGGAGTTACAGTTTGTTCGAGCTGGAGCATCATATATAGACATACCCCAGGGTGTGGTGGATGCTCTAGAACAGTTAAATGTAGTTATCTCCAATTACCTTTCACAGAGTACAGTCCCTCCATTGTTGGACAATGTAGCTGTGGCTGAATGGAGTGGAAGTGTGGGTCGTCCCAGATTAAACATACGAAGAGAAACACTCCAAAATTTGCTCAGCTTGCACTTACCTCTGGCCTCTTTGGCTGAAGTGCATGGCATTTCAAGATCAACCTTATACAGGCGAATGAAAGAGGAAAATATGTCTGTCAGGAGCAACTATTCTGATAATTCTGATCATGAGCTTGATCAGAAAGTTAGATCTATAAAGGCAAGAACACCTAATGCTGGATACAGGCTGGTGAAAGGGTCTCTACAAGCAATGGGACATCGTGTTACATGGAAAAGAGTTAAGATGTCTTTGCAACGTGTAGATGGTGCAGGGGTAATTTCAAGGATGGTCCAGCTGTCATGCGTTGCAAGACGTACATACTCTGTTCCTGCTCCTTTGTCTCTTGTCCATATAATCACAAGCTGATAAGGTAATTTTTAATACATTTAATATTTTTTTTTATTTTTTTTTAATTAAATATTAATCATAGCTTTATGTTTGTCTTGTGTCATTTGTGATGTTGATGTTATCACTAAATCAATGAGATTTGACATTAAATCTCATTACACATACCATTCAAAAGTTTGGGATCTGTAGAAGATGTTTTATATTTTAAAGGGCACCTATTATGGCATTTAAAATGTTCGTAATATTGTTCTGGGAGTCCCCAACAACAGCTTTACATGCATGCAATGACAAAAAACACTTTTGTTATCTTATAATATGCATTTATTTTTACCTGATTTGCTCACCAACTCACAAATGATTCGTTCAACGACTAATTTTTCTGAACCACTCCTTTGTGTGATGCTAATCTGCGGTGATTGGTCAGATGACACAGTCAGTTGTGTTTGTAAAGCAATCGTCATTAAAATGAGGTGAACACAGCAGTTCGGCTGTGTGGGTGTATCTTATTCAAATAACTTGTCGAGGTGACGTCATATAGCTAGAGTACGAGCAGACCAAGGGGTGGAGAATGTAGACATTGCTCGGTGCATGTTTACTGTGCGAGGAACTGGCCGTGGCAGCTTTATTGCTGGAAAAAGTGTGCATAACCAGAGGTAATTACACCCACACTGCACGCGCCGCGCAGACACCAGTGAAACTTGAAAACCTCATGTTGACAACAAGACGCTGTAAAGCTGTTGTTGCTTTAAAATCGTTCTGCTAAAGATTGCTGAAGAGCTACATTGCTTGAGGAAAGAAATTTGTTATCAATAAATTATTACATTTTTGTAGCTGTACACTTCTTATTAACTATTAACCAGAACGAGACTTCCTTAGATTTCCACGGCGCATGCGCGAGATTTGCGATCTGCTCACACCAGCTTACACCACTTCAGATCGCAATTCTCGCGCATGCGTCGTGGAAATCTATAAGGAAGTCTCGTTCTGGCCTACAAGGAAGAAAAGAAATAGTCGAATAAACTCGTTATTTTTGTTTGTTTTTTCGCACAAAAAGTATTCGCGTCGCTTGATAAACTTATAGTTGAGCCACGGTAGTCACTTGGGATATTTAAACATTTTCTTCATTGACTTTCTGGGCCGTCAAGAGGCAGTCCTTTAGGAGCCAATGTGGTAGTTATACAGCTCTCAAATTTAATCAAAAATATCTTCATTTGTGCTCCGAAGACGAACGAAGGTCTTACGGGGTTGGTACAGCATGGGGGTGAGTAATTAATGACTTAATTTTCATTTTTGGGTGAACTAACCCTTTAAGATAGATTTGGAAAAAAAAACATACTGTATTATGGTACGTTGTAAGGTGATTGTTCTTGTAATCAATGCCTGTCTTCCCCCCAAATGTCAGATATTGCAAGCTGAGGAATTATTCTCCCAGAATTCACAGTGTGTTGACTCTGAGCATGGAGTCATTGTCCCAGAGATACCTTGCCCCTTGTCACCTGAAGATTTTAATACTTTACAGAATCAAGTGAACCCCAGCGTTGAGTCCACTTGTTTTGGTTATGACATCTACTTACAAGCATGTGAATTAGCTGTAGCTTTAATGTTATAAATATATACCGGTATTCTTTAAAGCCTAGACTACTACAGCAACAAAAAAATGTAAATCCATGTATATGTATGAAAAAAGGCATACTGCTGTCTGCTTTGTCTTAAATGTAATTTATTAAGCATTTTGCCTTCAATGAGAAAACGTCAAAAATAAATTCTGTTTTGCAATAAGGAACTTGTTTCTTATTAAAACCTGTTTGTGGCTCCCACAAGCAATAGGCAGATTTTTTTTAATTCATTTTTAAGAAATGCCCACCAAATACAAAGTTTTACAACAATTCCAGGAAATGTTCTACACCCTGTCAAAGCTTGCCCCATATGTAACAGCAGTTTGCAAGATTGTTTTGAAAGACTCGTAATCTTCCATATGGACTACGGGAAATGTTATGGTATTAGTGCAAGCACTGACAATTGGGTAACACACAGTGTGGTCTGGCATGTGCTGTAGACAGCAATGGTCAAATTTAAACACCATTTTAAACTTTTCCCTTTCTGATACAAGCAGATGCCTGTGAGCTTGCCCAGTCATCCACTGCATTATATTTGGTACAGACAAGGTTTCTCCAGCTGTCGCATCTTCTGGTTGAGTGTCTTCAGAAGAAGTAAAGTGATGTAATTAGAATGATTGTTTATTTATACTCTCTTAATATGGGAACTACAGTAGCACATTTACACCTGGTTATCAAATAACATAGCACATTATACAATCATTTTAAGTCCATACCTTCAAGTTCAAGTAGGAAGTCTTGAAAGAATTCCATGATTTTGGACTCTTTCACTTGTTTAATCGAACCAGTTGGGCTCATCTCTGGGGCCAGGTGGGATAAAATGTAATGGGAGTCAACCTAAACACAAAAAGAAAAGCATAAAAATGGATTTTAACATTTGTAATTTAAGACAATAAAAAAGCTAAATAAACAAATGCTCAAAATTGAATTTCTACATACTTTGTCATTATATCCTATGACGAAGAGATCATGACACTCCTGTGGCTTTTTCTGCATGACTTTGATCAGATCGTATATCTCAAGGCCCTCACGCAGTTGTTGCAGCATTGGGATGCGTTTTGTTGTAATGTGTAGAGAAAGAGCTCTGGCAAAACAAAAATAAAGGCAAAATTAAAACATTAACATTTTTCATATTTAAAAACAGGGCATTCAAAGCAACAAAGCAGATTATACTAAAGCAATAAGCCCCTTGAAGCAGTGTTTTACAGTGGATGTAGAACAGCTAAGGGGGTGTTAGCTACGGAGTGGAGTGCCTAAAACCCCCTTAGCTGTTCTAAATTCACTGTACATGTCAGTCAGCATGGCATTGCACATCTGGGCATTTTAAAGTAACACTAAGTAGTTTTTCAACCTTCATAATATATTTCCAAGACCCTTGTGATGGTACATCGACTTAAAATAAGTTAAATGACACGTCTGCCATAGCCTGACGTGGTCTGTATCGCTTTTACTGGCACCATGTAACTTCGGGTTTCGGGTAGGAACCTGTGCACAAAAAGAACTACAAAATTCGCCTGCTTTACGTCAAGTGCTACAATAGTCATTATTTCGTTTTTCTTCGTTTCTGATGTCGCAATACATCATCCTTTCATGAAATCATGTAACATACTCTACCTTGTCTGTGGACATCGTTCATTCTAAAGCCGGTGCTGGGTAAACAGTGAGCGTGTGTGCAACGGTAGGCTAAATTATTTACGACAGCGGCAATGGACAATTTCGTTTCCAACCAGTAGGGCAACTGAAGAGGAAAATTTACTTGGTGTTACTTTAACATGGGGGAGATACAGATTTAACTCACTTTTGCAGCCTGCCTCAAGCGGCCAGTAATTGCAGTTTATTTCACTTCTGTATTGGTTTCAAGAGAGAGACGGGGAGGTTGCCGCTTGGCAGCAACAAAGCATCAAACGGCAGTTGCGCAGTAATTCGGTTGTTAAGTCGTGACGTAATCACACTCTGTTTCCGGGTCCAAATGCTGGGTCCTCTCTATCTGCTTACCGCTTTTGCCCGAGTTTTAACATGCCGCAGTGCTGTGTCCCATGTTGTTTAAATAGATCGGAGTTAAAAAAAAACAAGTGACATTCAACTGTCATTCTACCGCTTTCCCTGTGACGAGAAAGAAAAGAGAAAATGGCTGCAGTTGATAAGGTAAGTTACAATTCTTTCCTTTATCCCTAACACCCACTGGCGCTGAAGCGAAGCCAGTCCTTTAAGAAAAGGGCTTACTCTAACGTTATGGGTTGTAACGTTAAGATATGGACGAGCGGAGCGCTTGGACCCGGAAGAGGCTAAACGTCACGCGTGACGTCAGACTTAACAACCGAATACTAATGTAATGCGCTCACAGGTGTATGTTGAGTAATTTACAACGGCTTTGAACGTAGCTCAACCAATCAGAATCAAGGACTGGAACTATAAAATAGTTCCCATTCAGGGAACTTCGAGCTGCGTGTAAACGCCGTGGGAACGCCTCTGCGTGACGAGTCATGAAGCACGTATGAAATCTGTCCAATGGCGAGACGGAACGTCATAGGCGGGGTGACGTATCGACCAGGAAACTATAAAGCATCCCCGAAACACAAGCGCAACAGCTTCTGAGTCTTCACAAGCGCTCTATGAATTTTGTCTGTCTGTCTAATATTGTATATTTATATATATTGATATGGCGAGCAAACAACAGCAGAATTTCAGAAAGTGTGTTCATCCCTGCCCTCGCTTCATCACGGGTGGGGATACACACGATCTGTGTGTTGTTTGTTTGGGAGTGCAGCATGCTCAGTCGGCTCTGTGAGCACTGCGAGTGTCTGCCCATGAAGACACTTCGCTCCCGCCGGGCACTCTTCGAGGAGAGTGGTTCGGTGCGCGCTCCCCGCGGCTCGGGTCCCGCTGCTGCCGAGGCACAGCGAAGGCTTGCGTCGTGGGGATCGCAGATGGATCTATCAGCGGGGATTGAGACGGGCCCCGCCCTTTCTCTGCCCTTACCTGGTAGATCCAGTGCCTCAGTTCTCGCTGCGGGGGTCCGCGTTGCGGTTTTTCCTGCCCGGGCTGAGGCGCCATCACTTCAATTATCCAGTTCTGAGGAGCTGGATGTTGAAAGTGTGGATGCAGAGTCTATGGACTCAGTGGAGAGCGAGGGAAGCTCGTTTGCCATCCCAGTCTCCCGCGAATGTAGTAAAAAAAAAAAAAAAAAAAAAAAAAATGGAGGTTTTTGACTCGGGCTGTGGAAAAATTAAGCATTGAATGGCCAGTTGAGAAACAAGAGTCGAGAGAGTAAAATGGATGAGAGATTTTTAATATCACACTCACTACCTCCATGCCGGTGTTTGCCCTTCTTCCCCGATCTACACACCGAGGTGTGTAGATCGTGGAACAAACCAGTGTCAGCTAGAATTTTGACACACCAGACCTCTATGTATGCTAATATTGCTGGGTCTAGGAGATATGAGTGAGGGGGGGGTCGTCGGCACTGACGTGATTAATGAGATACTGCGTCAGGCGGCAGATATTTCTCTCCGTGCCACCAAGGAGACAGCCAGATCAGTCGGACGCTCTATGGCAGCCCTGGTGGCCACGGAGAGGCATCTGTGGCTAAATCTGGCTAATATGAAGGAGAAAGAGAAAGCGTTTCTCCTGGATGCGCCGCTGTCGACCGAAAAAAACAGGCAGCGGCGCTCCAGAAATGTCTCCCCCTCCGTACTCATCCTTCGGGGGCTGCTGGGCGAGAGCAGCCCCGCCCGTCGAGAGAGCGTCGCGTCTCGGGCTCCTCCCCAGCAAAACTGGGCTGAGACGCGGCGTTCTCAGGCGAGGTCTTCCCGGGATAGAACCGATCTGAGGACGGTTATTGTAGCCAGGAAGGCTTCGTCGAAGAAGTCCTGACGCCACTGGTGTCAGGCTACTGAGGGTGGTCCCCACCGTGAGACAGAGGTGTTCACCGCTGAATCCGGCGCCCGCTCTCTCTCGGTGCCCTCAGGGGTTCGTTCTGCCAACCCTGCCTGTAATGGGGGGTGCAGACGGTCCCAGCGAGCGATTTCCCGAGGGACGCTCGTTTGCTCCGAGGAGCGATACAGAACGGTCGTTAAACCCTGCCTGTGCGCGGTCACAGGGCGCTGTTTCTGTTTTTAAAAACTACTCCAGAGGCCAGTCTCGAGAGACTGGTACCCTTAGTAGAATTTCTGGTAGAATGGGGAAGTCTTCCAAATATATCTCGTTGGGTCCTGCAGACTATCGAACGCGGGTATGCGATCCAGTTTAGGTCGCGTCCACCTCGTTTCCGGGGGGTTTTGCCCACAGTGGTGACCCCCGAGCAGGCTCTGGTTATGGAACAAGAAGTGAAAGCTCTGCTACTGAAGGGCAGTGGCGTCATGCCCATTCAAAGTGAGGGGGCACGTGCCCCCTCAGATTTTTCCTCCCTGATATTTTTTTTTAAATTCTTTTAAAATTTCTTTTAATTTTTTCCCTGATTCCTTTATTCCTATTATGCTCCATAATTACCAGAGCCTATAACGACTCAAATATATTCTTTTTCTTGATGTGTGATAATAAATCGGTCAGCATTAGCCCGCCCGTTTTTCCTAATATGGTGTCTGTGTATCAAATCTACGCGCGTAGAGCAAAGCTTTAGAATCTTTGCTGTGTATGTTCCGGCGGTACAAGCAGCTCGCACGTTGAACTGGCGAGTGGTAAGTTGGAAATGCAACAAATCGGCATTGAATTAGTTATCGGATGATATTAAAAGGTAGTGGGATTATTTGTGGTTGACCTGGACATTTTAACTTGATCAAAAGTTATGGAATTGATATTAGCTGCGAATTCAGAGCATTAACAATGTTATGTCAGTGTAACGTTATCAATAGCTAGCCTAGTCTAACCGTAAACTAGTTGGCTAACGTTACTGCCTGCCATACAAAACTCTTGCAACTTGCTCTCTCCCCTGTCTCCCACCCTCGCACATATTATTAATCAAAATAAATCGACACGGTGGTAAAAGGTCGGAAGATGAAAGTTTAATGTGGAGCATTCTGTGTTTTTCCCCCTTATTTACCGCTGGGTGTGAATTGTGCTAAATAAGTTGCCTTATCTTCTCTGAGAAGCGTTCTGGACATTCAGTTGACATAAACATGACATCCATGTCCTAACAGCTAGGATAATCACACAACGCGCATAACACGTCCAATTCGCGAACTAATGACTCCTTTGAACCGATTCATTTTAATGAATGGTTAAAACAACTGATCTTTCCAACAGTGAACTCGGGAGACGTCTGAATCGGTGTATAACTAATCAGTAACACTTTACAATAATGTTCTGTTTATTACTTGAATTACATAAAAAGTACAGTTTGCTTAGGCTACTCAAGCTTAAGATTTAAAAAAAAAAAAAAAAAGCACATGACTACATTTTTCCACAAAATGCTATCAAGAATCAATAAGAGAATCGTTAAAGAATCTGATTCTGATTCTAAAGAATCGGATCGATAAACAGAACGTCATTGGCATTATTATTGTTAAAATCTTATCAATTCCATCCATATGGTAAGACAGTAAAATTATAATCTAATGTTAAAGAACATACATGTTTTTTAATAGTTTTTTTGAGAGTTAAAAGATTAAAACATTTTGCTAACATGAGGTCTTTGTGTCACTGTCAGTCTTTTTACATCAGTGCAAAACTAGGGTACGCAGATTAAGACCACTGTTCATCAGCATGCACTGATTTATCCCATGGCATGTAGAAAAGAAAAAAAGGTGCGACAAAATCATATGCTCAAATAAACGGGGTAGTGTTAACCTTATTCAGCACTGAAATCTGTCAAACTTCTTTCAAAGTCCTTCATCACATATTGATATTAAAATAACTTAATTTCAGAGAACCACAAAGTCAGACCTTAGCCCCTTTATACTGTATACCTTTAATGTAAGATCGTTCTTAGGTCACATACCTATTTAAAATCATAACATAAAAACTGCAATGGTACTGTTTTTAAAAACATGTGTAGAAGGCCTAAGTGTACAGTAAGTGTGTGTGTAAATATGCTTTAATGAAGTAGACTTCAAAAGCTTTTGAATTTGAGCTTACAGTTTTTTCATCAACCTGTCTTTTACATAAACTTACAAAAAAGATACTTTAACTTAGTCCTCAGATAGAGGAGGGTTGCTGCTAGCTCCATTAAGGTATTTCTGTCCCTCCCAAACTGCATTGAAATGGTATGTTTAGCAGCCAGAATTTAAAAAAAATTCAGGGGGAGAAACCCCCTGACCCCCCCTTACATGACCACTCATCAGGAAACAATTGCAACATCTCAGATTGTGCCCCCCCAGAATTTTGGCTTGCATGACGCCCCTGCTGAAGGGGGCGATAGAACGAGTTCTTCCTCCCGACAGAGAGCTGGGGTATTACAGCCGGTACTTCATTGTTCCAAAGAAGGATGGGCGGCTGCGTCCGATTTTAGACCTGCGCCTCTTAAATCGGTCAGTAGGGAAGCTCAAGTTCTAAATGCTGACTCTCAAGCAGATCGTGTCACAGATCAGGTCCGAGGACTGGTTTGTCACGATAGACCTAAAAAAGACGCGTACTTCCATATCTCCATCCTTCCGCAACATCTGAAGTTCCTGAGGTTCGCTTTTGGGGGCGAAGCGTACCAATATCGGGTCCTTCCATTCGGCCTAGCGTTATCTCCTCGAACCTTCACGAAATGCATGGACGCGGCCTTGGCCCCGCTGCGTCTCCAGGGCATTCGCATTTTAAATTACATCGACGATTGGTTGATTCTGGCTCAATCGGAGCATCAGGCGATTCGGCATCGAGATGCCGTCCTCGCCCACATCAGAAGGTTGGGGTTGAGACTCAACGCCAAGAAGAGTGTGCTTTCGCCAGTTCAGCGGACCACTTTTCTAGGCGTGGTATGGGATTCGACGACGATGCAAGCACGTCTGTCGCCGGCTTGTATAGCCTCGATTATCTCGACTGTCAAGCAAGTGAAGCTAGGCCAGTCACTCAATGTAAAGGAATTCCAGAGAATTCTGGGTCTGATGGCAGCAGCATCCAACGTGTTACCGTGCGGCCTGCTGTACATGAGACCACTACAGTGGTGGCTCAGGACCAAGGGGTTCTCCCCGAGGGGAAAGCCGCTCCGCAAGATCAAGGTCACGCGACGTGGTCTCCGTGCCCTGGCTATGTGGAAAGAACCTTGGTTCCTGTCCCTGGGACCTGCGCTGGGAGCCCCGTGTCGCCGGGTAACGGTGACGACGGATGCCTCTCTCACGGGCTGGGGAGCGATCATGAGTGGTCGCTCGGCCCGCGGGTTGTGGCAAGACCATCATCTCCGATGGCATATAAATTGTCTAGAGATGATGGCGGTGTTTCAGGCTCTGAAACACTTTCTCCCAGACCTCAGAGATCATCATGTTCTTGTCCGGTCAGACAACATGTCTGTGGTCTCTTACATAAACCACCAGGGGGGTCTGCAGGGACCCGTTCTGCTGAACCTGCCTGTGAGGGTGGGCGCAGACGGTCCTAGCGAGTGGTTTCCCGAGGGAAGCTCGTTTGCTCCGAGGAGCGATACAGAACAGTCGTTAAACCCTGCCTGTGCGCGGTCACAGGGCACTGTTTCTGTCTCTATAATTACTCCAGAGGCCAGTCTCGAGAGACTGGTACCCTTAGTGGAATTTCTGGCAGAATGGGAAAGTCTTCCAAATATATCTCGATGGGTCATCCTGTCGAGGCAGGGGCCGAGGCCCGGGGAGTGGAGACTCCACCCCGAGGTGGTGGAGCTCCTATGGAGTCATTTCGGTCATACCGAGGTAGGCCTATTTGAATCCAGGGACTGAGACACTGCATGCTGTGGTTTCTCTGTATCCACCAGCCCCTCTGGGGTTGGATGCGATGGTACAGGAGTGGCCGAGGTCACCCCTGTACGCATTTCCCCCGATTGCTCTGCTCCCAGGAGTTCTGGAGAGGGTTCACCGAGTCGGGGTCTTTCTACTGTTAGTAGCCCCGCGTTGGCCGGCCCGAGTATGGATGCGGGTCGATACTTCACCCCCGCCCAGATCTATGGAGGTTGTGGCTTGGCCTCTGAGGGGGCCCAACTCATAGAATCGGGTCTCTCGACTGAGGTCGTGGAGACCATCCTCCAATCCAGAGCTCCGTCCACGAGGAGATTATATGCCTTGAGGTGGCAATGTTTCACCTCTTGGTGGGGAGAACACCAGTTGGACCCAGTTAACTGCCCGGTGTGGCGGTGCTGGAATTCCTTTGGAGCATTTCTCCACAGGGTTATCCCACTCCACACTAAAGGTGTATGTGGTGGCCTATCTGCTTACCACGTCCCTTTGAGTGGAGCTTTTCACGGGAGATACCCATTGGTAATTCTTTTTCTTCGTGGTATTGTGAGGTCAGACCAAGAGAAACTCTGCTAATCTGCTCTGCCCTCTGAGGGCTCTAGATGCCTATGTCCACAGAGCTGCCCTGTGGAGAAAGCCTGAACAGTTATCTGTTTGTTTTGGACCTCCGAAGAAAGGTTGTCCCGCATCTGAGCAGAGGTTGAGTAAGTGAGTGGTCGAGGCCATCTCATTTGCATATGAGTCCGCCGGTCAGCCTTCTCCTTTGGCTGGCTGGGCTCACTCAACCAGGGGTATGGTAGCTCCGCTCCAGGGGCGCAGGTGCTTTCGTCTAAATATGTGCCTGATTTCATACAACGGACACCTGCTCGCATGGCGGCGTTGGTATTAGCGTTCCCACGGCGTTTACACGCAGCTCGAAGTTCCCTGAATGGGAACGTCTCTGGTTACGTATGTAACCCTAGTTCCCTGAAGGGAACGAGACGCTGCGTGTCTATGCCATACTCCCAGCATGCCCGTGAGCGCTTGCTTCAGTCCTATCAGAAGCTGTTGCGCTTGTGTTTCGGGGATGCTTTATAGTTTCCTGGTCGATACGTCACCCCGCCTATGACGTTCCGTCTCGCCATTGGACAGATTTCATACGTGCTTCATGACTCGTCACGCAGAGGCGTTTACACGCAGCGTCTCGTTCCCTTCAGGGAACTAGGGTTACATACGTAACCAGAGACGTTTTATTACATTTATTTGTATAATTGAAATATATTCCTTTGGTTTAAATAACAACATGTATGAGTCTGTATATATAGAAAGACTCATAGCTCCCATCAAACAAGTCTAATTGTGAGTGTGATATTGCTCAATTTCATCTGGTTTAAAATGTACCATACTACAACACAGCAGGCAGTGTATTTCATTTAAGAGTTGATACTTATGTAAATGAACAACCATTTTCTCAGTGCTGACCTTAATATGCTTTCCTTGTGGTCAATGTCTATCAGTCCAGTGTAGCCACAGTCCAGGATATCTTTTGTGTAGTTGGACAGGTCAGATGCTTCTTCAATCTACAAGTAAAATTTTACCTTTAATAAATAGTAACAATCATGGTTCACAGCTTAATTTTAAAGCAAAACCAATTTGTCAGTGGCTTTATAACATGATAACACCAAACAAATTTACTTGTACCACAATAATTAAAAGATTACTTGTATCTAATGAAATTAAGTCAACCAGACCTACCATTTTGATTAGTGGTGATATCTCTGTGTCATATACACCATCCCTTTTGATGTTACCAGTAACAAGGTATTCGTAACACCATTCTTGCATAAATCGTGGTGCCGGTCCTCCTTGCGCAATGCTCACAGCAAATATTTCACCTGCAACTCTGCAGATATATACTGTTTTATATATGGACAACAGTTCATATACCATTGTGGTATTCCAAATTTTTCTTTTTTTCTGCAATGATTTAGAAGGACTTGTGTGAATATAAAGTTAGTAAACCCAAAATCCAATGGTAAGACATACTTGAACAGCTCATTATCCAGATCATTGAGGGAGTACTTCGGTGTTTTCCCTTTCTTCGCATCACCTTCAAAGAGACGTTTTTCAATGCCAGCAACCATAGCTAAATCCAGGAAAAAAGATTAAATATCATTAGGCTAGAGAGAGGGGCATTGAAAAACAGCACAGCTGTGATATTTCAAATAAAGGCCATGTATTTTTAGAATAATGAAATCTAGGAATATGATTTTATATATATATATATATATAAAATAAAAAAATTAACATGTCAAATAAATGCATGATTAAAGCAAACTACACACTGGACAGAAACTCTTTCCTCAGTGCCCCTGTGTCAACTCCTGGCTCTCCCAGGAAGATTATTTTCAGGGGATTGACAGGGCTTCCCGTTTTTTGACGTTTCCACAGCTTCAGACCTCTCTCAACCATGTTGTCTCGTGACACACAGATTTCAAAGGTCTTTGTGGTATTTATCTGTGCTGCTGCATGACGAATCACATCCTCCTCACTGGAAATAAAAATAAAGTAAGTAAATATATATATATATCCTTTTTGAACAGAAGCAATAAATATGGTCAGGTAGTTTACCATGAGATATGATCCAAATCAGAGCAGGGTATTTTTTCTGGCACTCCATCTGGACTGTTTTTTGTTTAAAAGCAAAAATATAATAATTGATACATACTCAGGTTATAAACATTTCACCACTTTTAAACACTTGTTAAACACTTCAGCAACAGTGTAAACACAGATAAAAGAAATATTAAACCCAAAAATTATCACTCAACCTCATGCCATTTGACCAGAGAAACGCACAAGGATTTTTTTTTTTTATGAAGATATTTTTCTTCAACATTGCCAGATTTAATTTGGTTTTTGTATATGGTTTAATTTTGTGAGTGAATAAATAATTACATTTTGACCTGTTCATCATACAGTGATCATATTCAGAACACAACATTTATAACTAGGTGTTTTTATTTTAAGCTTTATTGCGAGTCACTATTACCATTCATTACCTTTCTCCACAAAAGCTGGCATGCAATTCTAAGTCAGAAACTGGAAAGGTTCCTGTGCATATTGGGCACTGGGCCTCAAGTGCCTAAAAGTTAAAGACAAAATGTTGGCAGGGCCAATTCTGTAGAAGTAATTGATAATTGACAATGGCTATGTTTACATGCAACCAAATAATCCATTAGTAATCGGATTTTATTCGATTTAGTTTGATCCGAATGATTGATCAGATTGAAATGGATGGTTTATTCCTTTTCTAATCCGATTGAGAGAACATGCATGTAAACACGTGATCGGATTGAAAACCGAAACTGGAAAGGACTGCGTTTGTGCAATGATGTAGAAATGCAGTTGTTCTTAAATAAAATGTCACAAATGACTGTTTTTCTAAAAGTCCTCTACACTCATCATCTGTGAAGTAGCGGACATTGTTCCATCAGTCAATCTTTCATACTCTCATCCATAGACACTTTATTTTTGCCGTTTTTACAGTTTGATAAATAAGCAGCACAGCATAACAGTTCATGTGCTCATCGTTTCCCAATCAGAACCCGAAATAGATAAATATGTCTGCTCTTTAAAACAAAGAAAATAAGCAATGTAGGAGAATGGAATGCACAAACAGCAGGAAACGCTGTATATTCATGCAGTGAGCGCATTTAAAATAATCGATCATGATTTGAAACTTGTGGCACATTAATGCACACATCAACCCGATCACTTTATGTATCGTTGTTGTAAACTACGTTCGGATTCATCAATGAGAATGACTTCATTCCAGTTGAAACAAAAGGTGTTATGTAAACACAGCCAATGTTAAATGTAGCTTTTGGTTGTGTACCTCCTGAGGGTGATGTATATCATTAGATGATGTTGTCTCCTCTATAAACACCAAATCTTCCTGCAAAGAGAAAAGAAAAATGTAAAACATAAAAAAATAATTAGAAGTCAGGGGCATATTGAAATGTGGTTGTGAATGTGTTAAAGGTGCCCTAGAATGAGGTTATTTTATTATTTTATACTGTTTCCTGGGTTGCCCTTATAGTGTTAGTATATTTTTTAGATCAAAAATACTCATAATTTAGAAATAAAAGGCATTTTTACTAGCCTGATTTTAGCCTCTGATTTGAACATTATGTTTGAAGGGGCGTGTCTGCTGTGAGACTTCAGTGTAACCACCCACTGCTGTGATTGGCTGACATGCGTGCATATGAAATAGCTACGTATTACATGTCTCTTGAATACCTTTACTACAGCTATTATATGTTTTTACTATTACAGCTATCGAGATTAATGAATTGTGAGATGTTTATAAAGTATTTAAATCTATTTCCATCACATAAAATGTTGCCGTGATGAGCAATGAGCAAGCAGATGACGATCTGTTGATCGCGAGACTGAAGATCTTATCATTGCAACGCAGTTTCTGCACTCTCTCTAATGCTTTCACCAATGCAAACATGATGATGTACAGTAAGAGCTTTCCTGGTGCAGAGTAACGTGCATCATTGATTTCCTAACGAGTTTGGCAAGTGTCCAGATAAACTCGATTTAACACTTGCGTTTCAGATCGTTAAAATAGGGCCCAGAAACCTAAAGGCTACGCAACATAGTTTTTACCTCAATTTCAGAGTTTTCTGAGTTGTGCATGCTGTCACACTGGTCAACATGCAAAGCCAGTGTCTGAAGTGGCATCAGAGTCTTGCATTTTTTACAAGTTGCCTTTGGCATTCGGGCAAATTCAGGTGCATCTGGTGGCAGTGGTGTCATGTCAAGCTCATCCTGCAACGGCACGACGTACAGCAAGTTCTTCCCACCATTAGAAGCACTTTTGATCACTGATCCTGTATACCCCTCTGCCTCCAATGGTATTACAGATATTCTTCTCCTTCCATTCCCACCTATATGAGGGTAATACAACAACTGAAAAAGAGAATAACTCTACGGTATAATTCATTAATGTTTTCTGTACTGAATGGACTAATTTATATTACTGAATTTTAACACCAAATGATGATAAAAGCAGACCTGCAGCTTTGAAAAGAAGCCACCTGTCTTCCAAATCGTTCATCTTTGAGTACGCTTCCCGCAGCAAACTTGATAACTATGTTATGGTTAAAGAAAAACCTTAAAACACTGACACAACAAATAATGCTATTCAGAATATGCATTTGCTTAGGATCAGGCTCCTCACCTCTGCATGTGTTGTATCCGATGTCAAGGACAGGGTCCTCTTTCCTAGCCCTGCTTGCATGAGCTCCAGCTCTTCAGATATAGACGGGGTTGTATCAGATTTAGAGCCCAGCAAAGACACAGAACAATCAAACGTTTTCTGCGCTTTTGCTGGTACTGTTGGCCTTTGACTTCTGGCAAGATGTCTTTTATTTTTGCCAGCATTTTTAAAAAATCCAGGAAAAGATCTGCAAATTATAGAACAGGTACATTTATTAATGTGTGTTTTTGGTGTTTATTTTTGAGTAGCAAGAAATACTATTTTTAGCTGCTGCACCCTATGCCGAACTTTTATCACTATAAAAAAAATAATAATTAATGTTTGAGTATTCTGTGTAACACCTGAACTGGTCCTTTTAAAATATAATTGCTATCTACCTAGTCATTTCATGTTCCACAGTAGGTCTTACTGACTGCTGGATCTGGCTCTGAGTCTGACCCTGTCTTGCATTTTCCTCAGGGATAACTCTGGCCACCAAGGACATAAAATGTTGTGCTGCTTCGGTTACAGCACGTTGGTTATACTGGGGAAAAAAGGTTTAGGTGCAAATCACTAGTATTGTAATACTGACCAAAACAAACTGCCAACTGATTAATTTGTAGAAATAAGCTAATAGCTTACCTGCGGTTGTGACCTGCCTGGTTGGCTTTCAATTCTGCCAATAAGACAAAGAAAATAACTCAAATTTAATGTAAAACATACAATAACTATACATGCAATACACTGTGAAAATCAAAAATACAATCCATGTGGCTAGATCAATATACACACATTATCACACACACATATCAGTACATACATACAGTACTGTGCAAATGTTTTAGGCACTTGAGTATTTTCACC